TATATATATATATATATATATATATATATATATATATATATATATATATATACATCTCTTTGAAAAAACTCTGTTTGGGATCATATAATATAATTAATTAAATGAATGAATAATTTTTTTTCAGGTCAGGTTATTGCTCCTTTTTATAAATATTGCTTACTTGGTTATCTTTCAGTGGTTGAATTGTGGTCTTTCTGCTTATTGAATGAATTTTTTGTGGTGGCAGATTCTAAGCAAAGTAGCATGTCTCTAGCTGCTTGGGAGAACTGCATCCTCCCAGTTCCCTGGGTGCAGGTCCCTATAAACCATGAGGAAACTGGTGTTCAATGCAAGTGATTGCCCAGCTGCCTATCGAAACCGGCACAAGATTCAGGATCTGTGTGAGTGCGTCAACTTTACCTGCCTTACTCTTCAAATTGTGGAACCTCTGTGAAGCGCAGTGGATGGCATCACTTCTGTAGGACTCAGGTTATCAGGGAACCAATTCAGGTGGCCCGGGTGTCCAAGGTTCTTGCATGTTCATTTGATTTTTAAGAGACTGTGATGGGATATACCTGGTCCCTTGTGGCCCTCTGCTGGAGGACCTGTGGTCCTGCTACACTCCACCCCAGGAAAGAGCTGCAGAGGTGGGTCCTCTAGGCCCGCCTAAGAAGGCTGCATGGAAGCAACCAGTCAGTGCCCAGCAGGCTCAGAAAAAAGGATCTGCAAGGGCTTGAGGTCAGTTCCCAGCTGGGGCCCAGCGGGGGATACTCCTCTCTGGCCTAAGAAGCTCAGCAGGCTGCATTTACTGGCCCAGTGGGGGGAGAGGACCTGAGAATTTTAACCCTAAAGTAATGGGTAAAGGTAAAGGGAACAGGTGGGAAGAGGCCCGGGAATGGAACAGTAACTAATTAAAAAAAGCAGTGCTGAGACTGGGCTCCAGAGTAGTGGGCAGACCCTGGTTCCCCCACTGGTGAAGTGGCCTAAGCCCTGACATTGCACTCCATATGTTTTATGAAAATATTCTAATGAGTGTGAATATGATGTAACTGGAATATGCTTCATGCAAAAGGTCTCTTGTAAGGTATCATTACAAAGCTTATGATCTACTGAGTGTGGTCATCCTATTTGTTTGCATGTATTATTGTTATGTCTGGAGTTGGGAGAATAAGATATAAACTTATATTATTGATGTAGATATGTTAAGTGGAAGCCATTAAGGGTGCTTCAGAATCAACAAACTGTGAATGAGCTTGTTTACCTGTAAGCCTTGCTATGTGCCTGTCTTCCAGCTAGTAGGTAATGAAGAAGGAGGTCTTACAGTGACATGTGATCATGTCACCTGAACTGGAATCCATCTTAAACCTGGTGCTTTTCTATTTAGAAGGAGTGGGGACCCAGATAGACTAAAGATTTCCACCTTTTGCCAAAGCTATAAAAGGGGGTGGAACAGAACAAAGGGGGCCACCAGTCATGAAAAAACGCCTAGTTACCACCCAAGCTGGAACTAACAAGGGCTGTACCAGGGAAAGGCTTGAGCCCAGACTAAGGGCTGGTCCACACTAACCCCTCACTTTGAACTAAGATATGCAATGTCAGCTACGTTATTCATGTAGCTGAAGTCGAACTATCTTAGTTCGAACTTACCGCGGGTCCACATGCGGCAGGCAGGCTCCCCCGTCGACTCCGCGTACTCCTCTCGCGGAGCAGGAGTACCGGCGTTGACGGTGAACACTTCCGGGATCGATCCGGGATCAATTTATCGCGTCTAGACAAGACACAATAAATCGATCCCAGAAGATCGATTGCTACCGCCGGACCTGGAGGTAAGTATAGACAGACCCTAAGAAGGAGTCTAGTGAAAGAAGCTTACTGGAACATCTCTGAGGGTGAGATTTACCTCTATTCAGTTTCTTAAATGTATTAGGCTTAGACTTGCGTGTTCTGTTTTATTTTGCTTAGTAACTTACTTTGTTCTGTATGGAGCATTGGCCTGCTAAACCCAGGGTTGTGAGTTCAATCCTTGAGGGGGGCACTTGGGGATCTGGGGCAAAAATCAGTACTTGGTCCTGCTAGTGAAGGCAGGGGGCTGGACTTGATGACCTTTCAAGGTCCCTTCCAGTTCTAGGAGATGGGATATCTCCATTGATTTACTACTTGAAACCACTTAAATCCTACTTTTTATACTTTATTATTGAACCCAGAGTAAGTGATTAATACCTGGGGGAGCAAACAGCTGTGCATATCTCTCTATCAGTGTTATAGAGGGAGGACCATTTATGAGTTTACCCTGTATAAGCTTTATACAGAGTAAACTGGATTTATTTGGGGTTTGGATCCCATTGGGAGCTGGGTGTCTGGGTGCTGGAGACAGGAGTACTTGCTGAGCTGTTTTCAGTTAACTGTTTTCTGCAGTTTTGGGGACGTGGTTCAGACCCTGGGTCTGTGTTGCACCAGGCTAGCATGTCTGGCTCAACAAGACAGGGTTCTGGAGTCCCAAGCCATCAGAGAAAACGGGCTCAGAAGTAGTTTCAGCACATCAAGTGACAGTCCCAAGGTGGTCTCTGTGACCGAACCAGTCACAGGGGCAAGAAGGCCAAGTGAAGGGCTGGATTTAAAAGAGCCCAGAGACAGGGCTGAAGACCCTGTTGAGAGAAGACAGTTTGGTGAACTCTTTGCTGTCCCTGAAGGGGATCATTTTTGACTGTGTGACTTGGTCGGAGAGCTGAGCTGTTTAAGACATGTCTTGCAAGGTTAGCAAACTGCCAGGAGCTGGGAAAAGGTTACAGTACCACACTCAACCCCTAGAAGGCACTTAACAGTTGAGTGCCCCATCACAAGGGCAAATCTACCTTTTCTGCATGAGGGTGGGTGTTGCACTCCATCCCAGCCCCTGCTTCCAATGTAAGACTCAGAGGGAAAACTCCACTAGCAAACCTTGTGGAATTTCTTCTCTCTTACACTAGCAGCTTGCAAGCACCACTTCCACTGTTGTTAACACTGGTACTACTCCATCAGTGTTAACATGGATGGAACCCCTAGTTTAAAGATGGGCTGCTGGCTGGCACCTGCATCTGAGGTTCTGTGTTGATTAGTCCTGTTCTGGGCAGGGTTAGATGACGATGTGCTTTGTATGCTGAGGGAGGTGGTACTCTCTCTTCTCTCCATCTCTCATCCCTCTTCCAAGCCAGCCCTGCATGGATCAATGATAGATAGAAATTATACTATCTTCTTGTTGTATTCTTAGAATGTTGAATAATTTGGTGTAATCAAAGACAACAGAGAAGAAAAAGGTACACTTTTAAAAAACAGTGCTAAGAATTAAGAGCTAGATATGCCACTAGTTTAAAATGGCATGTCTTTATTGAACTTGAAACATCCAACAACTCCCTGTGCACTATGTGAAAATGCTCCCATTATACAATGTGTCAAATGCGAACAGCACCAATATGTGATGTATAACTAACACTATGGCATGTGTATAACATTCACAGGAAACCAGTTCTTCATATATGGGGAAAATAACTCTTCCTCCTGCAGACCTTGCTGGACCAAGCAGTTGGATGATAAGCTGCCATCTAATGCCTCCTAAAGATTCTTTAAGAGGAGCAGAGAGGACCACTCTACTCTTGGAAGAAGTAGGAGAGGAAAAGCCACCTGTCCCATAAGCTCATCTATTGTAAGGTAGCTTTCCTTCCCTATAGGAATCCCCGTGTAATGGTGCCTCAGTCTCCTGGTCGGAGGGAGGCCACTCAGGCCCGTCCTGTCGGGTCGGGGCCAGAGTCTGTCCGACCAGCAAGAGCCTCCCATTAGGGCTGTGCGATTAACAGTCCCTACCAGGCTTTAGCCTGGGATTAAGTAGCTCCAGTAGGCAGCCCTGAAACACAGTCTATCAGAGCTGACTTTGGCCTGGGCGGGGCTCAGGCAGCCAGCAAACAAACAGTCTTTAAAGGTAAGTGATAAGGGAGCTCCTGTCCTGGGCTAGAGCCTCCTTGCACCGTGTAGGGGGTCAGCCACCAAAGGTGGGGTGTCAGGGGGATGTGGGCCAACCCTACTCCACCGCATCCCAGCCCAGGGCCCTGGCAGGGGCAGGATTGGCTGCCCCTATGTCGGCGGGGATCCAGCCACAACATGCCGACTGAGCCACGCTGGGCTCTGCAGCCGGCTGCTCTGTGGCTGCCCCTGGGCTACTTCCTGCCTCCCCGGGGTTTGTTTCCTGCAACCTCCAGGCCTCTTCTGGATCTTCAGGGTAAACCACAGCAGATACTTTGGATCAGTTGTCATCCACATCTGGGGATCGGGAACAGCCAGGCTCAGGTTCCTGTCGAGGCCTCTGGAGAACCGGCTGAGCGTCCTTCTCCGGAGCAGGCTCTCGCCCAGCTGAGCTGCAGGGCCGGCCTTTTATACCTCCAGCCCCGTCCTTCCGGCGAGGGGGGCGGGGCGATCTAGGCCCCACCCTCCAAGGGGCGTGTAATAGTGCCTCGGTCTCCTGCTCGGAGGGAGGCCACTCAGCCTCACTACACCCACTATGTGAAAACATCAGCCCAAGTCCAAAAAAATTGTTGATTTAGGCTGATAGATGCAGGCTGTAAAACACAAATGTGCGTGTACCATAGGGGTGGATTCTGGCTCTTTGCAAAATCCTCTGCCCCCTATTCACTTCTGTGATGAGTTAAACCAGTGGCAAACGTTAATTATACCTTTCTGGCAGACTGGCAACCAAAGCACAGATATAGCTCCTTGGATTTTAAGGCCAGAAAGGATCACTGTGATCATATAGTCTGTCTTCTTGCATAATACAGGACATAGAATTTCACTCAGCAAATCTTCAATCAAACACAATAATGTGAGAGAACTGAAGAATATATTTTTTAACCAGACATGCAACTCTGATTTAAAGATTTCACATGATAGAGAATTCATCAAATCTCTTGGTAAAGTTGTTCCAATGATAGATTACTAGGAATACTTGAAAATTGTGTTGACTGTGTGTGTGTGTGTGTGTGTGTGTGTGTGTGTAAAAATTGGGGCTTTGATTAAACACTTTTTTCCACAGAAAGTATCTGCTTTCTTTAAAATGTTCAGTGTGGGGACAAAATTTTTCAGTTTGGGGACAAAATTTTCACTTTTCAGGTTTTTTGATGAAAAGTCACAATTTTCCATGGTGGGAAATAAAAATTTTCTGATCAGTTCTATTAATTAACTTCACTATTAAAGTTGTGCACCTTCTTTCCATTTTTGACTTGTTTAGCTTCAGCTTCCAACCTGTAGAACTCTTTATGGTCTTCTCTAATATCTCTCTAATTTTTTAACATCCTTGCTGAAGCACAGGAGAACTGGATACCGGAAGGTAGTGATCTCACCCATGCCATATATAATAGTGATATAATCTCACTACTCTTACTCAGTATGCTCCTTGAGATTTTCTCAGAGTCACACAGGGCTCAGCTGTGAATCAGCCTATGTATCGGCCCAGTGGAGTGAGAGGCACAAGGACCGCATTACATTCTGCAAGGATCTCATACACTGCAAGTCACAATGTGTGTGTGTGTGGGTGGGGGGGGGGATCTAAGAGGGGAAAGAATAGTAACTGTTGGTTGTTAGTGCTCCTCCCATGTAGATGGAACTTTGGTTCTGCCCCCTGTAATGAACCAGCCAACTCATTGAGAGAAGTGAGCTGTGCCAGGAAAAAGCTGGTACCGCTTCCTTCCCCCATTGAAAAAAAGGGTGGGGTGTCATAATTTGGTCCTCGTCTGTTCATGGGCAGTGAAACTTGCTGTAGGTTGATTGCAAGGTGCCAATGGAGCCAAAGTGTGTTAGTGGCAATGCTCCTGACTCTCTCTTCCCTGCTCTAACTGTCCAGTCCCTCACAGGCCACTGGTTGGCTGATACCAGTATATAAACCAGGAAGCCATGATGGGGAACTGTCTGAGCAACACAGACGGTCTGCCTGCTTCTGTTCCAGACCCTGATAGACTCCAGCTTCCGACCCTGGTTCATACTCAGCCTTGCTCTCTGATTGCTGGCTGTAACCTGCCACCCAAACCCACTCTCTCCGTAACTTGACCCTGTCTGCCTCCTGGCATCTGACTCTTGGTATGGCCTGTCTTGGACTCTGACTTCCTGGCATCCCCTGCCTGACTCCCAACTCCTGCTCTGACCACTAAGTCAGACAGCCCACATCCTGATTGTGACAACAGTAGCTCATCCTGTAGCCCAATACACACTGAGAGGGCTGTAACCTAAATTTTTCAAACAGAATGTAAGGGGACTGTGAAAAAACATGGGAGAGCAAAAGGACAATTAAAACTCATTCTAACACACCTAAAACCTTGGCGATTTTTTTTAGTTAAAAATCACAATATTAGTGTGATGCTCAGCTATTAAAATTAATTCATTACCATTATTCATTACAGTTCATAAAGACAGTAGCTGAACCAGGAGAAATCAAAACAATTTACACTGAAAATCAAAACATTATTGCAAATCATGAGACTGTGAAGGAAAAAAATTACCATAGAGACAATAAACAAGATTGCATTATATTGTTTACGCCATATGAGTTCTCTCTAATTTCTTGGGCTAACGAACAGTCCCATCTAATTACAGAACAATTTTTCTTGATAAGGATGGGCTAGTCCCTATTCACTTTTTGCTACACTTTGTGAGCTGATGAACCAAGAATTAAATCTCAGGAAAAACTTCCTAGCTGTAAGAACAGTAGGACAATAGCCAGTGCACCTCTGTAGCCATGACGTCTATTGCACAGAACTGTTCACTTACATCATACATCATACGCCCTATGTGGCTGGTAGTTAATGCAGAGTCTCATTTATCTCAAGGGGAAAAAAGAGGCCTGTGCTTTTAAAGCAAGTATATTTTAGTTCCAGCCATGCTTTCACAATCAAGTGCTAAGTGGCCATGGTGTGCAAACAGCAATTAATGCAACCTCCTCAATGGATATTTCTCCCCGCCCCCGCCAATTGTCCAGAAACCAAAGAACAGGAGACAAGAGGAATGACGGGAGGGCCCTGACCTATGGATGGATACAAGTACCAGCCATTTACTTCTAACTAGGTTAAAACTAAATGGCTGGCAACAGTGTCTTATTTTGGCTGACCTCAGGAATGCACTTGTTCAACAAGGGAAAGCCTATCCCCATGCTTTAGGCCAGGGGTCTCAAACGCAAATGACCACGAGGGCCACATGAGGGCTAGTACATTGGCCGAGGGCTGCATTACTGACACCTCCCCCTGCCACCCTTGGCCCCGCCCCCACTCCACCCCTTCTATGAGGCCCTGCCCCCATTCCAACCCCTTCCCTGAAATCCCCACCCCAACTCTGCCCCCTTCCTGCCCCCAGGGAGGGCAGGAGGTGTGTGGGGTGTGGTGGGGGCTCAGGGCATGGAGTTGGGGTGTGGGGTGCAGGAGGGGTGTGGGGTACAGCAAGGGGTTGGGCTGCAGGAGGAGCTCGGGGGGCGGGCTCTGGCCCGATACTCACTGGGGGCAGGGCAGGCCACCTGCCTGCCTGTCCCCGCACCGCTCCGGGAAGTGGCCGGAACCTGGGGGAGGAGGGGCACAGGGGTCTGTGTCTTGCTGTTGCTTCAGGCACCACCCCCAGCAGCTCCCATTGGCCGGGAACGGGGAACTGCGGCCAATGGGAGCTGCTGGGGGCGCTGCCTGAAGCAAGAGCAACCCACAGAGCCCTGTGCCCCCACTACCCCACGTTCCGGCCGCTTCCCGGAGCAGCAGGGGGCAGGGCAGGCAGGGAGCCTGCCCTTCCCCCGGTGCGCGTCGGGCTGGAACCGCTCTAGGTAAACACTGGGAGGGGCCGCGAGGACCTCATAGGCCGCAGAAAACAACCCCACGGGCCGCATACGGCCCCCAGACCGTGGGTTTGAGACCCCTGCTTTAGGCTATTATCTCTATACAGGCTTTGCTGACTCTCCTACTGAGACAATGAGCAAGATGGGGTGAAATAGTCCCATGGTGCCATTCAAAGATTTGAAACAGATCTTTCTCCAAAACAGAATCCCAGCTTACAGCTGTGGAGTCCCTAACTGTATCATGTTCAGTCTCCTTGCCTCAAATATTATTTTCCTACTCTGTGACAGGTGACTTGAACTGGATGGGTAAAAAAAAATTAAGGCTTTTTTTTTAAATAATCTACTTTAAGTAGATACCTTTAGCTGAATTTTGCCATTAATTGCACCCTGTAGTCTAATGATTCAATTATAGTGAAAATGTAAATGGAAAAATCCCTATTGTACTCCAATAAGGCTTTTTCTTTCCAAGCTCCCTTTGCTTGGAATTGCAAGCCTGCTTTATGTCTGCCTGTTTATAGAGTCATAATTACTTAATTGTTCAGTGGCTCTGGGTAATGTAAAAAGAAAATAGGTTTTGATCTTCTTTCTACCATCGTTTATGCTTAAAAACAATTTGATGGAACTAAACAAACCAACAATACGCTGAGTCTCACCTTGTATATGAACACGATATGGCACTCAAGGATATTGGTCAAATGTGCACGCACCCAGAAATTACCTGTGTTTATGGTGCATTTATTAACAGTATTATGAGTTGAAAGTATGTCTTTCATTATAATGACAGGTTTCAGAGTAGCAGCCGTGTTAGTCTGTATCCGCAAAAAGAAGAACAAGAGTACTTGTGGCACCTTAGAGACTAACAAATTTATTAGAGCATAAGCTTTCGTGGACTACATCCGAAGAAGTGGGCTGTAGTCCATGAAAACTAGCACCATTGTCCCACCACCGTGGTGTAGGCACTGTACAAACACAATAAGACAGCTCCTGCTCAATTAACTTCCATGTTCAATAAACAAGAGATATGATGTACAAGCAGAAGACAAGGAACTGAGTAACGGAGAGATTAAGTGACTTGCCCAAAGGAAGTCTGTGGCAGAGCCAGAACTGAATGGAGGTCTCTGACTGATCCTGTTCCAGTGCCTTAACAACTTCCTTGGCGTTCAAACATGTATAAATATGCTTAAAAACTCCTGGCATATACACTATTCATGGTAAAATTAGTACCATCAGCTCTACCAACAACACTCCCTTATCACACGGGAGAAGTGCATACAAAAAAGACCCCCATAAAGATGGACATGGCAGCAATGTCCATGACTCTCAAATCTAAATGGTCATGAATGTGACAGCTCCAAAATCCTAACTAATTCTGAATATTGGTATAAAGACATATCGCAAATATATTTCATAATCCTGTATGAATACAAATGGGAGCTTTTGAATAGAGGACATTAAATTAATTAAATCTGCAAAACTTCAATATAATTTAATTACTGTGGGTGGTATATACCCTTCATATAAAGTGTTACTGAAATAATTTCCTCCATTTAGAAGCTCAGATTAGGTATCAGAAGATCATTTTCTTCTTTCAGAGCAGTTGTTCTTCTCTTTTAGAAAGGAAGCAAGCATGCTGAAGGAAGCATAAAGAGTGGGTGAACAATTCATCTAAAAATCCCAATTGCAGTGACTCCAATGAGATATGATCACAGGCAGAGGAGGGCAGGAGAGGAGCCACTTAATGCTATTTCAGTTTCCTAGCTCCCCATATCAGAATTATCTTGGATTAAATTGATCCATCATTTATTAATACCACTTTCACAATCCTTTGGCTTTTTGTTAATATAAATTAAATTTAAATTATATGCAAATATTAGGATTATGGTGAAATATCCAGGCTGTATGTATTACCACAGTGACACCTGAAAACACTTCTGTACAAAGATTCTATCAGTGTTTTTCATTATAAATTCCATTTTTAAGTCAAAGTGATTCATTTCTTTTTCCGTTTCTTTCAGTTTCCATCCTGAGCCGAGACTTTGTGTGCCAAGCTTCTGCCCAGCGTGAATTTTAACAACAGAGATACTGGTGAGCCTGAAATTAAAGAGAAGCATTTTTATGCCAAGCTTCTAAATAGCTTCCCAAGTATAAGGATAACATAGACGTCAGCCTTGTATAGCACACAAAAAATATCTTGTTCATGCCGTGCATTCCTAACACCCACAGCTAGTGCTAGGAAGAATGGTCTGATACTTGGGTTTAATTCTTGGCTCAACCACAAACTTTTTATGTGTCCTTGGGAAAGTTGCTTAATATATTCTGGGTCTCAGTTCCTCATCTGCAAAATGGGAATAATACCTCCCTACTTTATGAATGTTGTGAGGGTGAGGGACATAAGTCCTTCCACAGATAATTTCCCATGAAAAACAGCATCCAATTACACTGCTCTACAGGCAAAATGCTTCTGAACTAAATGTAGTCAAACTTTATTAATTCTGGGTCACTGAGAACAAAAATGATGCTTAAAATTGTTGATTGGCTCTAGTTTTCAAGATATGCTATTGAGTCAGTATATACGACCCTTGACTTGGGAATGGCGGAGGATAAGTGAGTTATAAAGGGAAAGGATCTCAATTTAAACTAGAAATGACTAAAATACATCTTTGACTGGATCTATGAATAAATCTATGACTGGGTTTGGTCAGTACTTGCTTTTTAGGCAAAACAATGAATGATGCAATTTGAAGCTGGTATTGCG